ACAATAAAAAGCATGCAATTTGCATACTATCATAAAGTGAGATTATTGCTTGTCTGGGATACACCTGTAAGCAGAATTAAGAAAATCAATCAAAGCATCAAGAACAACAAGCTTGGTGTTAAACATTTCACTAATGACTCCTTGCTGAGCAAAGCTAACATAAAGCAATTGGGACAAGAAGGATGCCTAGCGTTTGAAGAAATCAGGACAATTAAAATAAAGAACAAAACAAGGAACTTTAATAAGGAATTAGTACTGAGCTGAATTATATTACTGTGTCTGTAATATAAAACCATTTTATTTTCCTTTTAAAAAATTCATGCCTTTGTAATGTGTGCAATTTTCAATTGTTACAAATGTATATAATAAAGGTTTTCCCTGACATTAAGTCTAGTTGTGTCCAACTCTGGGGGTGATACATAGCTAAACCAAAGAACCAGTGTTGTCAGTAGACACCTTCAAGGTCATGTGGCCAGCATGACTGCATAGAGCGCTGTTACCTTCCCGCAGAAGCGGTACCTACTGATCTACTTGTATTTGCATGTTTTCGAACTGCTAGGTTAGCAGGAGCTGGGCTAACAGCAGAGCTCAGCTAGTTCAGAAGTCAGCAAGTTCAGCAGCTCAACGGTTTAACCTGCTGTGCCACCAGGGGGCCCTGGCAAATGTGTGTGTGTGTAATGTACAGAAAATATGCATAGGAATTTTTATACTCACAACAATAAATCAAGCTTGAATGAATTTTAAGAAATTTCTGGTAATTTGTTTATACCTGAAGGTAAATCAATGACAGAAGCAGTCAAGGTTCCACTTTGCTTTCCTTACCACAGGAGCCCCCGGTGGTGCAGTGGGTAAACCCCTGTGCCGGCAGGACTGAAGACCAACAGGTCGCAGGTTCGAATCCGGGGAGAGCGTGGATGAGCTCCCTCTATCAGCTCCAGATCCTCATGCGGGGACATGAGAGAAGCCTCCCACAAGGATGATAAAACATCAAAACATCCAGGCGTCCCCTGGGCAGCGTCCTTGCAGACGTCCAATTCTCTCACACCAGAAACAACTTGAAGTTTCTCAAGTCACTCCTCACATGACAAAAAAAAAAGATTAGATTCATTCATGAGCAGAGCATCTGAATAACCCAAATGTTAGTCTCAATAAGCAGAAGAGTAACTTTGACTCTTCAACTGTTTTGGAGTATGATACCCACAGTCCCCATGATGGATGGTATTTCCACATCCAAGCCTGTGGTGATTTGATGGACTATGGGCTATATTTTCTCTGAACAATTCCTTCTGAACAATTCAGAAGGAATATCATAGCAGGTAGGTGTTTCTAAACCATTAAGATAACAACTGTAGAGGTTTTCAGGCTAGCACTAGTTTAAATTGGGAAGCATGAAAAAACACTAATGCAACAAGATCATTGCTGTATGTACAATGGCCCTGCCAGGATTGTTGAGCTGGGCAAAATATATCTGTGCCTCACTTGTACATATGCACACGCACATCCTCATAAGTGTACTGTACCCACTTCCATAACCCACATTCTCCCTCCATTGCTCTCTCTGAGCTCTTTTCTACTCCCCTGTTCTTTCTTTCTGCTTTCTCCCTGACCTCCGCCTTCCTTCTCTCACATATACACACATTTTCTCCTTTGATATATGTCTCCCATTCTTTTCCCTCTTTCACTAACCAACTCTAATGCCCACTTTCCCTCATCTTACCACCAGGTAGAAATGCTGTCTGCTTCTCTAAACTCTCAAAAGAGGGCACGCATTCTTTCCAGGTATTAACTTTTCAAGTATTAACTGCAGGTGCTCCCAGCATGTTAATTTTCTGTGAATGCATCCGAACCCCTGTGAGCCTGCTCTTTGGAGAAATGAAAATTTTCTCAGTGTGAATGACATTTCCTCCACACTGAACCCTTTCTAAGAGTTGAAAGACAGAAAAACAAAGGAAGAAATGTACCAGTACCTCATGAAGAGAAGAAATATAGAGAATCAGGGTGCAGGAAGTGAAAAGAATTGAAAAGAGACAGAGATGAGCAAGCATTTCTGGCCTGAAAGTACTTTATGAAGGCTTGTGTTGCAACCACACTTGGGAGCCCAGCTCACCAGCCTGTTGGGCCCCAGATGTCAACTTATTGGCCTAGATCCAGTGGTATTTCTGAATATTCCTCTACTGTGTGGATAATGAATAATATATGTTTCCAGAGCTGGCCTTAGGTAATTTTCAACTGTAAGCAAACAGTATTTTGGCGCCTCCCCCCCCCCCCCCCCCCCCCCCCCCCCCCCCAACCAATCACTGATATATATTTTCTGTTCATCATGGGAGTTCTGTGTGCCATATTTGGTTCAATTCCATCATGGAGTTCAGAATGCTCTTTGATTGTAGGTGAACTATACATCTCAGTAACTACAACTCACATATGTCAAGGTCTATTTTCCCCCAAGAGCACCTCAAGAGCGCCCCTGGGCAAAATCAACTATACTGCAAATGCTTACTTTGCGTAATGGGTTGAGCTGCCCCTGTATGTTTCAGACATTTAAAATATCATTTCCTTAACATAGACTTTATCACAAAAAACCACTATTCCTCCATAGCAGCATTTCTCAACCTGGGGGTCAAAATTCCTGAGGGGTCATGAGGGAGTGTCAGAGGGGTCACCCAAAGAACATCAGAAAACACATTTTCTGTTGGTCATGGAGTTCTGTGTGTGAAGTTTGGCCCAATATATCATTGGTGGAGTTCAGAATGTTCTTTGATTGTAGGCGAACTATAAAATCCCAGCAGCTACAACTTCCAAATGCCAAGGTCTATTTTCCCCAAACTCCACTAGTGTTAACATTTGGGCATATTGCGTAGTTGTGCCAAGTGTGCTCCAGATCCATCATTGTTTGAATCCACAGTGCTCTCTGGATGTAGGTGAACTGCAAATCCAAATCTCAAGGTCAATGCCCACCAAACTCTTCCAGTATTCTCTGTCATGGGAGTTCTGTGTGCCAAGTTTGGTTCAATCCCATTGTTGGTGGAGTTCAGAATGCTTTTTGATTGTAAGTGAACTATAAATCCCAGCAACTGCAACTTCCAAATAACAAAATCAATCCTCCCCCTACCCCATCAGTATTCAAATTCGGATGTATCGGGTATTTGTGCCAATTTTGGTCCAGTGAATGAAAATACATCCTGCATATCAGATATTTACATTATGATTCATAACAGCAGCAAAATTACAGTTATGAAGTAGCAACAAAAATAATTTTATGGTTGGGGTCACCACAAAGTCAAGAACTGTATTAAGGGGTCGCGGCATTCAGAAGGTTGACCACCACTGCTCTATAGCCACATTATCATTGCTAATGGATACATATCAGAGTTAAGCAGTTTCACTTTGGCAGCTTTCTTCAGTAGCCCACTTACGCTGACTTGTCAATCCATGGTTCTACAGGTGTGTTTGTGCAAATCCTTGGAATCCCACCTTTTCACACTATTGCTGTTTAGTAGCAGAAGCAGCAGTATTAGTAAAAACAATATTGCTAGTGCATTAGCAATATTCCAACATTTAAAAACAAAAACAAATGGATATAAATATAAAACATAAACTAAAAGGAAAACAGGCAGCTTGGGAATAGCAAAAAGGAGTGGGGGACTCATCAGCCTGAAGACTCATTACAACCTGCTACCATAACAAGATCTGCAGCAAAATCCATATTGGTGAATGTTGAACAAAGGGCTCACACAAACATTTATCTGATTTTTGTCATTGTTTTATTAAACAATCATGTTTTACATATCATCAGACCTAAACCCTGAAGTGCAAAAATATGTTTGAGGTATTAAGACTGGAGAAAACCAAACACAGTACCTGTGAAACTGGGCCAACCCATGGCACTTTGGTGCCTGTGGCAGAACAAGTATAAATCGAACTGGACCGACAACAAGGCAACCTTTTCTTTTGCCATATCTACCATCCCCTGGCACCTGAGGTGGTTGCCTCTCTCCATGTAATGGCAGGGCTGGTCCTTTGCTGTGAAAGCACGGATACTGCAGCAAGCAGGATGTTTATGGACCATTTAGAGTTCTAGACTGACGTTATATGAATTGTTTGAGTGTGTTAGTGAAATAACCCTGATATTTGCATAGGTTTTCAGATTTAAAAACATATAGACATGATTAACACAGGAAACTGAACAATGCCAAAAATATATTGCCTGAAGCAATATGTACAGGAGCAATTCTGTTCGTTCAATGTAGTGATGATCACAAACCCAAAATGATAGCATCTGGCAGATAAAATCAGCATCCAACTATATCCCATTACATGTTCTGCATTATGCAGCTTTGTTTATTGTCAATATAATATAACCATACATATTTTGGTGAGCTGTACATATATATCTAAGTGGCCATTGCTAATGTTATTTAACAATCAAAACAACATCTCTTGGGACAAACATCCCTTCCTGTAGAAGGGGTGAAACAAAATATGTTGGGAAGACACAGGTTACATACTTCTCAAATAGGTTTCTCCCCTCACATTCTTATTGGTCGTGCACACCAGTCCACTCCAGTGATTTTCTAGGTCAGAGAAGGCAGACATGTGTCATTTCACTGCAGGGCAAAAGAGAACTGTCTCTTTAAGGAAGGTATTGAAAAACCTCTTATGCAAGTCTATAAAACCTACTAACATTGGCATAAACCAGAATTATACTTAAATAGAATTCTGGCTTTTGGCTTACCATAATAAAATACAACCAAAACTTGGAAGTAACAAAAACAAAGAACAAGTCACTTGTCATTAATCCCACTTTTTCTAAATAACCCTGACATAGCTGAATTACATATCAGTTTTATAGCAATAATGGACAAGTGCTACTTTTGTTATTTTAAGTTATATGTCTGGTCACGGTATCATATGGCTAATTGTAAGTGGGAAGAAAAAGTAGATATGCAACATAATGCACTTTAAACTTTAAAACAATATAAAAGGTCTACTTTGGGGGGGGGGGGGTACTTCTAGTTGATGTAAAATCCAAACATCCATAATTGTTTGATCATCAGAGGGGAGGCTTTAAAAATTACCTGAAAATTAACTTGATTTTTTTCTAAGGGTTTTGCATTTTTAATAGTGCAGACAACTTCATACAGTTTGCAGCCATAAATATGCTGTAGAAAGTATGTGTTCTAGTATAAACACCTTTCAATTACTTCATCATAATTTGAATGAGACCCAAAGTGTCCCTGAAGCCTCACAAATACTTGAAGGCATTTGGGAAAATATTTTCCTCTAGTGGTCTTTGTGAACTGTCCTTCATCCTAAAGGTGGGGTAAAAACTAAGCATAAAGTTAATATATCTTCTACTGAAGGCCTACCAAGCATTGAATGGTTAGCTAGTTACAAAAAGCCCTATGCAAATGTTCACTTGCATATACAAATAGTTCAAATGGGAAGAAGGAAGTGCGCATACATGTAACTCATGCCTCCAAATGCCCCTGTGTGCCCAGCTGTTAAACTTTCACATCAATGCACCATTTGCAAAGCTCTCCAACCACATTCAGGTGTACACACCTAATCAAATTGAACTCAACTCTCAAGAATGTCAGGTGTTCAGCCAAATTTGCAGGACCCTTTTCAATGTGTGAATGTGTGAAGTACAGGTGTAAATAATATTTACACCTTTTTCTTCCCTTCAGTGAAAAATGGAGCCTCAGTACACTGAAACTCCCCATTCAGAAACCACCCAAAGACTTTTTTGCATTTCAGGGGCCTTTGCACCAAAAAATAATTTGTACCCCTTCCCCACTCAAAAAACCGCCTTGGATTTTATGGGAAAATAATGCTTTTGCATATAACAACTCTTCCAGGAATAAGTTTGCAAAACTTTGGAAGGGGACTGTGAGTGGAGTAGGACTACCTCCCATTAATTTAATGTAAGCTTTTTCCTATTTCTATCCACAACCCTCTCCACTCAAAAGAGTCCACCTACTCCCCTAAATTTGCATTTGTGGGGCTGTGAGGGCTGCCAAGGAGAAGGGAGCCAGAAAAGTGAGTTCCTTCCCCACAACACAGGAAACTGGATTTTGCTATGAGATGATAGAAATAATTATGGCTAAAGAAATTCAATTCAAAGAAAGAGCAAGGGGCAATTTGAATAAATTAAATAGGTGACTCTTTTCCAGCAATACATCTCAAATGAGTGGATGCTTTTCAACACTGCCAAATGCATTTCTAGGACATTGAATAGTTTCAGTTCAATCCTAAATTTGCAACACAAAACATTTTGGCTTAGGAAAAATATGATTAAACACAAGTCAGTCATATGTCCATTATTGTCATTCCTTTCACAATATGAACTCAACCTAAAACAGAGTAACATTCACCCCATCCCATTTGATTATATTTCCCAAGCAATTAAAAACTATAACTACTCATTATGATTATTTTGAACTATTTGCTGCTCTTTTCTGCAGTGCAGTAGAAAATGAAAACTATGTGCTTCAAGTACCAGAATTCATAAAGAATGGAATAAAATGTATAAAATTGTCAAAAAATGGAAATAAACACAGAGGTTGCCCCCATTCAAAGGGGCATATTAACTATGGGTCTTTTATAGCAGTCATGTTTGTATAATATGGATATATTTGGAGGTTGTTTTTGATTCAAGCTTATTTTTTGCCTGAAGCTTTTTTTAAAAAAAAACCCTTTATGATGCCACTTGGATGTTTGAAACCACTTCAATTATCTGTAATCCTGTTGGCAAATGTCAAATAGCTCAATCACTCACATAACCATAAACATAAATGAAAAAGAGCCGCCATCATCTTTACTGCTTATTATCTATACAATACCATGTATAAAACTACAAGTAAGACTAGCTGGAATCTGAAAGTGGCAGAATGCTGCCTTGGTGACACTTCAAAGAAAATACATTTCTTGGCAATCCCACAGAGAATGTCCCATTGATTTGTTCTTTCTAGTTAAAAACAGGGTTTCGTACACCACTCAAAACTGGACTACTGCTGGGCCACTTTCTGTGGAGGAGGAGGAGGGAAAATATGAGGAAGACTGTGCTCATAATTCCCAAAATTACTATTCCTGAAATCAACGCACTGGTGACAGAATTGAGCTGGAAAGAAGATCCATTTGGATTGCCTACAAAGAAAAGAAATTGAAAAGATCTGTGTCACAATATTATTATACAAACTCTGGGAATGATCCAGCTGAAGATATTTAAGTTCAATGTATTGTTGAAGGCTTTCATGGCCAGAATCACTGGAGTGGTTTGTGGTTCCCGGGCTGCATGGCCATGTGCTAATGGCATTTTCTTCTGAGGACAAGAGGGATCCTCTCATTTCTTTAGGAGTTTACCATGCAGCAGGGCCGTAGCCAGAAAAATTTTTGGGAGGGGTTGAATTTTTTTGGGGGGGGGTTGAAAATTTCACAGGGGGGGGTTGAAACCTGCCTCCTAGCTCACACTGAAGCAAAGAGCACAGCAGAGGGCAGAGCAGCCTTCAATAGCCTGCAGCTCTGCCCTTGTCAACCACCTCCACCAAGTCTGGCCTCCTGAATGAGAGCATTCAACATCCCCCCCACCCCAACTTGGTTGCTTCACTACTGTTCTGTTGCACGCTGGGCCTGTAAATAATTGTTTTTAGAACAGGATGTGCAACCTTTGCCCAGCGGGAAGCCAGGGGACCTAAAGAGAAATTCTCAGAGGTTTCCACCACAAACAGTCTTTAGATGACTTGAGAAGTACAACAAAGTCTTTTATTAATGAACAATCAAACAGAAACTTCTCTTGTCTTCAGTAAAGTTAAGCAAATGATTCCAAGCTTTTGGGCAACTGGTGAATTCCTAATCTTGCCCACGAAGGACAGGCAACTGTCTTCAATAACTTCTTCTTTAAAGGAAAATCCCTTTTAACTTCTCCCAGGCTGACTGTAATCTAACCCTTACTGATGTGGGCTCCGCTACCGGGTCGAACTGCGTCTCGAACACCAAGTGGACCTACCAGCAAGGCAGTAGCTGTTCTCCAGCTGGAGTTCTTTGGTCTTTAGGGCTGTTTTCCTGGAAATTCTTTGGAGACAGACCTTTCTCCCCCGGAAGGTCTTAAGGGTTGAAGCTTTTGTACAGGGGAAGCTTGCACACATCCTATACATAAGCTTACCTTGCTGAGACTAACTAAAAATGGCTCCCTTCCCTTCCCAATTGCCCTGAGCAAGGGGCGGAACCAAAACTTAACAATGATGGACAGGTGACTTGCCCTATGACTGCAACCAAAGAAGCCACCTATCTGCAGAGTCCCTGAAACCTAGGACTGCAAGCAAACATTTAATACAAAGCAAATAAAGTTGGAGCTCCTGGTACAGCCGTACCAGAACAACTACATCGGCTATTGCTGCAAGTAATGACAGTGTGAATAAATTGCCAATATTTGCTTGAGATAGTGCTTGCAGTTCTGGAGGGACTCTTAATTTTTTGCATCTCATAGACTTAGCATGGGGATTTGGTTAACCAGTTAAAATTCATGAGTAAACCAGGTTTTTTTAAAAAAAAATCTGAAACATTTCGGGGGGGGGGTTGAACCCCTAAAACCACCCCCTCGCTACAGGCCTGCCATGCAGCTGTGGACAAGTCTACATAAGGACCACCAAATGCGGCATTGACAAAACACAAATCAAGGAACATGAAAGGCACTGCAGACTACTTCAACCAGAGAAGTCAGCCATAGCAGAGCACCTGATGAACCAACCTGGACACAGCATATTATTTGAGAACACAGAAATGCTGGACCACTCTAACAACCACCATGTCAGATTACACAGAGAAGCCATTGAAATCCACAAGCATGCGGACAATTTCAACAGAAAGAAAGAACCATGAAAATGAATAAAATCTGGCTACCAGTATTTAAAACAACTCTAAAATTAAAACAGGAAATAAAGAACAAAACTCAAACACAGGGGATCCCCCAACAAGAAAAAATCAGGAACAGCTAATCACCTCTCAACAAAGGATTCCCCCAGACACTAACAAGACACGCCTAAAAACTGTCAGGCCATCAAATGCTAATCAAGGTGGCCAATTGAAACATTCACACCTAGCTCCAACAAAGAGTTCTTTCTCGCACTCTGGACTTTCCACGGATATATAAACCCAATTTTCCTAGTTTCCAACAGACCTCACAACCTCTGAGGATGCCTGCCATAGATGCAGGTAAAACATCAGAAGAGAATGCTTCTGGAACATGGCCATACAGCCCGAAAAACCTACAACAACCTATTTTCTCCTGACTTTCCATATGCATCTGTGGCTGGCATCCTTTGAAAATGCCAGCCAGAGATGCAGGCAAAACATCAGGAGAAAATGCTGCTAGAACACAACCATACAGCCCAGAAACCACACAACACTCTATATTTAAGATCCCTTTTATTCACAGTTATAGAGGGACTCCTATACTCTCTGGGAAGGAAACTGGGATCACAGATTACTTTCTACAGCTGGAATAGGAGATCCATAGATAGGAAGAACATACTCTCTAGCACTTTACAAATTAAAACCAGGACAATTGTGGCCAGAGTGTAGTCAACTTGGCAGAAGTTATTAATAAGGAGGCACACACAAGCTAGAATGGGATGCAGAAGTTTTCTTTAACCTGTTGGGAAGGGCAAGGTACTATCCTCTCATGTCCTCTCTGCCATGCTGAATTAATCCAATTTGTACTTTTGTACTTTTAACTCACTTTGTAAAAATAAGCTTAATTTTTGTAAGAATAAGCAGAGAATGGGGAGAGTATGAAGAGGACTGAGAAACAGAGACATTTTTAAAGCAGCAGAACATTAATTGGGACTGTCTCTGCCAAATTAGAATAGTTGGAAGATATGGAAGGAAGGGCCATAGGTGGAAGCCTCATATCTTCTGTGTTTCCATTGGTTTGAAAACTGCACTTGTATCTTCTTTTGAATTCCCAAACTATATTTCTAAACGCTCAACTGAACTTTGAGGTTCCTGCAACATTAGAAATGTAAAGGCTCTTAGTGTTCATTCCTAACCTTATATGTTGCTCAGATTCCCAAGTGTGAGCCATGGTAGAGACTGCTCTAGCTATCTATAGTGTGTGTGTGTGTGTGTGTGTGTGTGTGTGTTATGAAAATACTTCTTCCTATTCATTGGCCCATATTTGTTTCATCTAATATTTAATGCATCAGCTTCCAAGATGGAAGTTATGGCCATGGTCAGTCTTGAGTAAATCTCTGTCCTCTAGACCACTCTAGACTTGATCCTCTGAATACTGTAGATATGTGAGAAATATGTTGCATGCTTTAGAAATCAAGTTCCATTTCAACTTGGCCAGGGCCTATTTCCAGCTAGCTAGATCTAGACAGGATTTAGCAAGAATTATGTAAGCCTCTATTAGTTGATTGTGTAAATAGTTTGTATAATAAATAAAATTAAATTAAAAATAAGAAAAGAAATGTGGGGGCTCAAGGAAAATTGCACTGAGGGAAGGGTTAGAATTCTTAGGTGTAGAGCCATTTTCTTATTTTGTTCCATTTCCCTAACTACCCACTGGAAGTCAAAATTTGTTGGATATAGAATAGTCCATTGCCTTCCCTTAGGTTAAGTGGAAGGAAAATGTTTTTTAAAATCTTGCCTTTCTTTCTTCCACACTAGCCACTGTACATCAACCACAGAGTTTGTTGCCATCTCCTTCTCTGAAGGTTATTAAAAAGGCTGGATGGCCATCTGTCAGGAATCCTTTTATTGGGTTGTTGTAAGTTTTTTGGACTGTATGGCCATGTTCCAGAAGCATTCTCTCCTGAGGTTTCACCTGCACCTATGACATTGTAGGGTCTGTTGGAAACTAGGAAAATTGGGTTTATATATCTTTGGAATGTCTGTTTGAGGTAGGTTTGAATGTTTCAATTGGCCACCTGCCATTCTGAATTAATCCAATTTGTACTTTTGGATTAATGTTTGGCATTAAATGTTTGGCATTGAATGGCCTAGAAGTTTCAAGGTGTGGCTTCTTACTGCCTGGGGAAATCCTTTGTTGAGAGGTGATTAGCTATCTCTGATTGTTTCTTCTCAAGAGTTCCCCTATTTTTGAGTATTGTTCTTTATTTACTGTTATGATTTTAGAGTTTTTGAATACTAGTAGCCAGATTTAGTTCATTTTCATGGTTTCATCCTTTCTGTTGAAATTGTCCACACCATTATGGATTTCAGTAGCTACTCTGTGTAGACTGGCAGAATGGAGCTAGACTGGATGGCCACTGTGGTCTATTCCAACTCTTGTGTTTCTATGATTTTAAGACTCTGAATAGGGCAGTGGCACTGCTGCAATCTCTCTCTCTCCTGCCCCCAAGGTGATTAGGATTGTGCCATCTTATTGGTTCTAGAATTGATTGCTGTGCTCTATTGATTCTGATTTGAGAGAGCAGCACAGTTAATCCCCACCACCGCAAATGTCATTAGTGGTACTTAGAATGCATAACTTTGGCTGGCTCTTGCCCCCAATTAATTGCTAAATGCCTTCTTCCTTAATACTACAGCATAGCAAACTCCCTCTTTGCTCTCTCTGTTTTACAATCTCTTACAGAAAGTTTGCAGACGTACATGAGAAATGACCTATGTCACGTCACAATAGTATCATCTGGCCTGCAACTGGCTTTTTAAATGTCAGATCCATTTTGAAGAGTGGAATCTGTTAAGCTTATCAAAGATGGCCATAGGAATTTAATTGGATGTTCAACATTTACCGTTTACTTTCTTGCTGCAAATGATTGAAAAATACTGCAACATATCAGATTAAATCCAAATCGTTCCAGTAGTCACTGATGTAAAATTCAAATATTCCTTTTCTAAAAAGAGTAGTTTGCAATTCCAAGAACAACTTACCAAGTTGTGAATTATTGGTTGGAGTTTCATCTGTGTAAAAGATAAAAATAGATATGTTGTAATTTGAAGACGCTTTTTCCATAGCCTCTTTTTTCTTTCATGTTGGACACATTCAGCTATTTCAGATGGATAGTTTGTAACTGCATTGGTTAGAATCAGGTCTCATACACACGTCCTGGGAGAAAACCTAGTTGAATTCAATGAAACTTATTTTGATGTAGACCTGTTTAGGATTGCCCTGCATATTAAAGTCTTGACAATCATAGATCAATTACTTTCAGATTTAGCAGACATTTCCCCAAATTAATTTATTCTGGAAATAGTTTGTAGCTATCTTTCAAAAAGTTTCATTCAACAATACTGAAATTAGGACCACAATGTCCTATTTATTTATTTATTTGTTTGTTTATTTACAGTATTTATATTCTGTCCTTCTCACCATGCAGGGGACTCAGAGCTGATTACAATGCACATATACATGGCAAATATTTGATGTCATTAGACATACAACATATATAGATAGACACAGAGGGAATTTAACATTCCAGCTTTCCAGTTTCATGAGGGTATGCTCGATTCCAGCCACAGTGGGAGTTGCCACTTCATCATCCACTTGTGACACCAAGTCCTTGATGGAGTACTTCCTCATTCTTACACATACTGCTGGAAAGTTTTATGGTGTCGTACATTAGTTAAATTAGCTTCCCCACATAAAACGGTACCTAAATTTCCTACTTGACAGATGCAACTGTCTTTCAGGTTGCATAGGTCAATAGCAAGGTAGACTATTAATGGTCGGGCACTCACTCCGATCTGGGCTGGCTTCAAACTCATGACCTCTTGTTCAGTAGTGATTTAATGCAGCTGGCTATTAACTAGCTGCCCCACAGCCCGGTCCCAGTTTCCCTGCTTTGCCTTTTCTCTTCATCTATATCCTATCTCAATCCCCTTTCCTCTTTAAGGAACTGGATCATTTCTGGACATTGGCTATAAAGTGTTTTTTTTCTCCTCTTACAAAACAAGCACAATTAATGACTGGACACCAACCTATTGATTGTTTCAACTATTCCTACTTGAAGAGAGAATATGAGTCAGGAATAATATGCAGTTCTAATCCTGATTTTTTATTATTTTTTGGCAAGATATTAATTGCAACACCCGCATAATGTGACAGGGACAACTTAAATGTACTGTGACAGTAATATAATTTGACAGCTTAAACTTTGACAGATGAAGAACAAATAAGGAAGTGAAGAAATGAATTACCATATGCCAAACATCCACTTCAGAAATTGAACTTTTGTAATCAACAGTAAATTTCAAAATGTACAAGCCATTCTCATTTGAGAAATAAATCCTGACACTCTAAACATGGCAATAAAGTAAGTGTCTATGTGCCTTAAATCCTGTTCAAGCCTTTCCTCATCATGCATGTGGGGAAATCAGAGAAACATTCACTGGCCTCAAATCTTCTAATATCCCCATAACTGGCACCATACTGTCCACATTCTGGATGGAGCTTTTTGAAGGTGGAAGGTTTTTGTATGCATGGAGGCTCCCTGTGAAAATGCAAAGCCTTCACAGTTAGAGTCTAGAATCACTTGGGGAACATCTACACTGACCATTTAGGTGTGAGGAGGGATCAGCTGCATGGGGTTGATCCGGTTTAACCCGGGAGAAGGTATCTTAACATGGCTTTGCCCTGGGTTAAGATAACTTGGAGGTAAACCCAACTACTTATCCAGGATCATAGTTGTGTCCTGAAGTTAGGGACCCTGAATTAGGACCTAAATGAAAATGGTGACAGCTGGTTTAACAGCCATCCCACAGTCCCCAGGCTAAGGTGGGCCATGAATGCAGGATGGCAGTCCCCTCCTGTCTCCTCTCCCCATATTGTGCCTGTTCCCAACCACAACAGAGATACATACAATGTCCGGAAAGGCTGGGTGAGAGAAGAGGGGGGCTGTCCTCTCCCTAACTGCCTTAGTAAACAACACACTGTTTGAAATCAGCCAGTGCACCTCAAGGACCAAGTAAGTGAAAGTATTGCAGCTGGTAACAGTCATGACACAGAAATGGGGGATGACATTTCAGGTGGTTGCCCAGCCACACTGAACACATGTTCAGTGCATCTAGATAGTAGAACTCTCTGCCAACCTCAAGGTAGCTGAGGAAGTCCCTGTCAACTGCCAAGTGGGCTCAATCTAGCAGTCAGTGAAAAAGCGACCATGAAGAGCCCATGGCATGTTTAAGTAAATATAGCTGGTTCTTTGCTTTTAAAATTTCCCTTTGGCATGTGGAAAGAAGCTGTGACAAGCCTGGCCCAAACACAAGGAACAGAAAAGATAGGAATGTTCCAAAGTATAATTTTTTCAACCCAAAGAAATCCTCATAGAGTGCATCAGTCCCTCCATATAAAACCATCTGAAGAATGGGAAGGATACAAATTTCTTCTGAGGACTCCCAGTGTAAGCAATTTCCAGTTCTGAGATACCTGTCTATCTATCTGTGGGGGACATACCTGGAAGAGTGTTCTGGGGGAGTGGTCAGGGGACTGAAAAATAAGAGGGCACTTAAGCCCATAGGTCAACTAAAACATGGCCGCTTCTCATTGTATCATTATAGCTGTGTTCCAGTTTAGCTGTCATGGTTACATTCTGGGATTTAGAATGTTCTGCAAGAGAATTGTAGCGCCTCTGCAAATTGGAAACACCATAGGCTGTTTTCTTGGGAGCTAAACTTCAATCATATCAATATAATTATGTAATGTGAATTATGGGTGCAAAACCTACAATTGCATTCCCACTGTCCACTCAGATTGGGAATGAAAATCAGGTTTGAATGCCCAAGCTTTCAAACCAACTGGATGCTATCCCAAAAAGAAGAAAACTTTTGACTGTGTCATCGAAATCAGGCCATGATAATCATATTCTTACCAGTTCTGGTTATGATGGGTCCAGCAGAGATGACCGCACTTCCAGATGTGCTCTGAGGGCTCCAAGTGGTTATTTTTGCCACGTCTCTTTTTTTTCTGTTGCTACAAATCTGGAGAGATGACCAAAACAGTACGGAGGTTTGAATGGAGTGGGTCATTTCCATCCTAGATGTTGTATAATACATGATCTTCCAGGGCTCTAATGAAAGTGTATCTGCTCTAAATCAGGGGAGGGAATGCCCATAAACCTAGAGGACCACACCAGATTATTTTTAGTTGCTCTAGGGAGCTGCAGCCAATTGTTCTAGGCACCATTTTGCAACTATAAGCAATGTTGCATAACTCATTTAGAGAAGGAGTTTTTGCTGTTTTGGGAGTACCCAAAAAAACAACAAGCATATGTGGCTGCTCTGAATTTTTAAAGATTGCGGGTCGGGGGTTGCATAATTTTGTTTCAGTCCAAATAATAGTGGTAGCTAAGGTCCAAGAGACATTCCCGGGGTTCCATAGGATATTTGACCAAAAGACCATAGAGTTTCCACACTTCTAAAACACATTTGCTCCGCATAATTTTGGTGAAAGGATGAAATGATTATCTACAGGTATGCTCAATCTGTGTATTTCCTGCATTGCAAGTTCTCACAATCTTCTCGGACTTTAGACTGTTGAAACAATTGCCCAAAATGCAGGGAGGATAAAAGGAAGATTGAAATATTGCCACTGCACTCTTGTGTACACACATATACACACATCACATCCCTGTCCCTAGTTTTATCCTTCCCCATGTTCAGACAAATGCCTGAATAGGGCTTATATCCTTCTTCAGGCATTCCAGTCACATGTAACTTGTATATATGAGAACAAGGATTGGAAGTGTGCTAACTCATAACTTCATCACACACACAATAAAATCAGCATTTCTACACATTTAAGAAAGAGCAACCCACTATGCCCTTCATATGACACAAGCTTCAACTGTGGGGGTGATGTATCTTGCAGTTTCTAAAGTGTTGGTTTTTCCAATGATTTCTGAGTCGATTGGCAAGTGACTTACTTTTAAATTCCCTGCACAGACATGCGCCAAATCGCCAATTTCTCAGTGTGATGTTAATCACTGTTGCCTACTTTTGCTGCCCACTTGTAAATAAAATTATGACACTGTGTGTGTGGGAGGAGCCAAAATGCCCATTTCCCCAGATCAATAATGCAGAGGCTTGGGGAAAGGGTTAATTTAAAACTACTTCCTACGTTCGCTAATGCAAGGCTCTGAGAAAGATGAGAGATAATTTAAAACCACTTCTGGGGTGATTTTTTTTAAAAAAGATAAATAATTGAAATCCTAGAGGGACAATTGGAGGAAATCTCAGTGCAAACAACCCAGGGAAAGTGCTGCCTTAAGAGGGTGCTTCTGTTTCAGTCAAGGTTCTCAAGTGCAAACAACCCCAGTTCCACCTTAAGAAAGGTACTTCTGTTTCAGTGGAAGAGGGTTGAGTACAAATTACCCCAGTGCCACCTTAAGAAAGGTGCTTCTGTTTCAGTTGAAGGAGTTTGAAGGCAGGGCTGCCTTAAAGGATGCCTGTCTTAAAAAGTGTGCTGCTATCCTTAAAATGGGAGGAGTCATCGCCTGCCCATGTGATGGGAATTAAACAAATTGTTGAGTTAGAAGCTAGAGGAGGCAAAATTAGCATGATGGGATTGAGTAAATTTTTCATCTTGTATAACGACAGAACCCGATGAAACCCCACCCTTTCCCCCACTTTCCCTCATTTTGTCAAGCTCAATGTGATGAAGTCCTCAATCTGCCACACAGATCATCCTATATCTAGACATATTATTTCTGCAATTTTCTGCTTGAATTTCCAGAAAGATATCCTCTCCACATGACATACGATGGAAAGAAGGTGCTCTCCCTCCTTGTCTGTAAAGATTTTACACTTTGAACATTTCAAGAAGCCTTATATGAAATTATTAATCTGCAATAGACACGGTTTTGCTTTCAAGAAAGTTCACTGGTACTGGAAAGAATCACTTAGGGCACAATCAAGTCCTGACAGATTGCTACACTTTGTCCCATGCCTTTACTGTAACTACCAAATTAAAAAGACATGCCTAAGCAATGCCAATTACACTGGCATCCTGTTATTGACATACGTAAGTAAAATATATGCCAGAATCTATTTTTCTCTTTTTTGTTTCATTGAAGAGGCTGGTATTCTGTTCCCCCATCAGCAATGACCAAAGTTCTTCACCCAACCCAGGACTTGTCATTTCATTGTGAGAGCCTTCACCATGGCCATTCAATGGTTGGTGAAGAGTGAGGGAAGAGGGAATGGAGAAGCATGTTTGGTACTTCTGCCACCGTACATAGCCAGACATTTCTCCAATTCCATCCCCTGTTTGCTCTCCACTAAATGGCTGGTGGGAGGGGAAACAGCTAAATGGTGCAAAAAGTGTGGTTTTCAGGACAGGTGTGGCATAGTTTTATTGGCAGAATATTTACACCATAATTGTGCAAAATTGTGTAAGTGTGCGACTAATTAGAGTAGATGTTTCAGTTTTTGTCTCATGTCTACACAGAGTGAAAGAAAAGAGAAAACCCCTTCCCCATTGAACTCCAATTGCAGTATTACCAAAACAATCGAAAACCTACAGGAGCAAGAAAGGGGCAGTCATCAGCTCTGCACAGCTTTGTCACACAATGAAGAAAAACTGTGGACATTTTCTGGTTCTTGTGCTTCACAAAGCGGAACACCTCGAAGGAAAACCGGCCCATCTGACTCTTCCCATTTTCAATTATGGTTGTCTGAGGGTCTTTGTCACAGCTGAAGGAAGAGAAATGAGGATTATTATTTTTTCTATTTCCAAGACTGCAGAGCCTCACATAAGAAGATAACAGAGTCATAAATGCTAGAAAATATAGAATCATGTTTAGAGATAAGTGTTTCTCTGCATGGCATCATCCAAGATTATGTAGCCTTAATGAACCTAAATTGGTCTAGATTTTGACAATGCCTAGATGAATGGCCACTTCTGTTCCATGAAGAAAGAATGATATAAATATAAATGTTTTTTCAAAAAAAATGTTCAGATTTTGTATGCTCTATTTTATTGTATTTGTGGCCTATAAATTTGATACACAACTTCAAATGTTATGTGGAATTATCATTTGATACCATTTCATATGCTACTGCACCATATTCTTCATCCAAGAAGCAACACAATATTTGAACTATCCTCCTCTATTGTTTAATTTCTATCAATGTTAGTTGTTGATAAATATTGTCCTGAAACAATTTAGCTTAAGAGTGAGTAAAGCTATTTGTACTGTTGTCTAATTGGGACCATCTTTCAGGCAAGGGGGAAAGCTATATTATCACAAGAATGAGACAAGCAAGGATATTATTATTATTATTATTATTATTATTATTATTATTATCTGCCAATCCGCTACCGGGCACAATTCAAGGTGCTGGCTTTAGCCTATAAAGCCCTAAACGGTTCTGGCCCCTTACCTCTCCGAACGCATCTCCACCTATGAACCGACTAGAACATTAAGATCGTCTGGGGAGGCCCTGCTCTCGATCCCGCCTGCGTCACAGGCACGCTTGGCGGGGACGAGAGACAGGGCCTTCTCAGTGGTGGCCCCTCGGCTATGGAATGCCCTGCCGGCAGACATCAGACAGGCACCTTCGTTGCTGACGTTTCGGAGAATGGTCAAGACCTGGCTTTATGAACAAGCGTTTGGCTAAGCAATGCAACCAATCAAGGAAGACGGTAAATGGAACATAGGAACGGCACAAGGACTATGAGAACGGATCTGATTTCAACTGAGGCGTTATATATGTTGTTTTGTTGATTTGTCTTGTCTGATTGTTAACTGTTGTGGATCGATGTGTTGATCCTGTTGTATTGATATGTTTTAATTGCACTGTAAACCGCATTGAGTCGCCTGTTAAGGGCTGAAAAATGCGGTATAAAAATGAAGCAAATAAATAATAAATAAATATCTTTATTTGTACCCCGCTAGCATCTCCCGAAGGACTCGATCCGGCTTACATAGGCCAAGGCCTCAAAACACAACACAACAATACAACACCTAAAGCAAATAAGAAACAGTTAAAGCAATATTAACAACAAGCAATAAATAATACATCAAGACACTATAAAACTGGGCCGGGCCAGAGTAATGGGTGCAAGATTAAAAGTGCTGATGTGACAGGAGGTATGTAAGGATTATAGGGTAAGTGCAGTGTGCAGTGTGCAGCAATCTTAGTTCTACTAAAGTGCTTCTGGGACTTGTTATTGGAGATTCCTAATCTGGAAAGGCACATCGGAACAGCCAGGTCTTCAAGTTCTTTCTAAAAATATACATCAATAGATATACATCAATAGTCTAGATCAGGGGTTCTCAAACCTTTTCAGACACGGAGTCCTTTTTGAAGCAAAAGTTTCTCATGGCATCCCAAGAGATATTTATATATAATGTATATATATCAGGCATGGGCAAACTTTTTGACCAACATAAACTTAACAAGGAGGTGAGGGAAAAGGCTTTAGGGGACTAGGGAGATAGAGGAAAAGTCAAGGGAGGTGGGGAAGGAGCAAGAAAGAGGGAAAGATTGGAGGGAGGGGGAGGGAAACACTGAGCCCTCCAGTATGCTTAGCAGAACTCCAAGGGCTCTGTAGAGCATACTTTGAGATCACTGGTCTAGAGCAAGGATGGACAATTAAAAACCATATCTGTCCCATTGGGACCCCATCCCAATTTTGGCATGATTATTTAGCCAAAAAAGTGTTACTTAAATTTGCATAAATACGGTATGTCAGAAGCAATTTGAGAAACTGCAAGTCGCTTCTGGTGTGAGAGAATTAGCCGTCTGCAAGGACATTGCCCAGGGGACGCCCGGATGTTTTTGATGTTTTATCATCCTTGTGGAAGGCTTCTCTCATGTTCCCACATGGGGAGCTGGAGCTAACAGAAAGAGGTCATCCACACTCTCCCCGGATTTGAACCTACAACCTGTTGGTCTTCAGTACTGTGGGTTAAACACAAGGTTTAACCCACAAGGTTTAACCCACTGTGCCACCGGGGGCTCCTATTTTTGCACTGATGCAGAAGGACTCAGTCTTTCTCTGAGGGTTACTTGTATTGGTATCTATTTTCCCCACTGTAAAGAATTGCATTTAACCAAAGCATTGTTTAAATTGGGAATTTTTGTATTCATTTTGAAAATAATTAATATATTAATCCATATAATCCCATCACAGCAGAAACATATATTTAGAACATGCCTACCTAAAGAAGAGATCATATCTCAAATCATCATTTGGATTTCCAGATGGAGTTGTATAGCAGTAGTCCATCAAAACATTCCATCTGTGCAATAAAAAATAAACAGTTAAAAGATAAGTTGAATTCAATATATTCAGATGAACTGAAAATGCTTGCTGATAACTGTAATATGAACAATTATCTTCTATAATAAGTGAACAAATAAACAAATTTCCATATGCTCAGAATTTTTTCCCTTTTCAATGTTATTAACACTATAACCAACAATTAATGCTATATAACAGATATGGAGATCTAGGGTGCCTCTGCACAATAGAAATAATGCAGTTTGAAACCACTTGAAGTACCATGGCTCAATACTATGGAATCCTGCGACTTGTAGTTTGGCACCAGACTTTTTGACAGACAAGGCTTGTAAAACTTCACCTCTCATGATTCCATAACATTGAGCCATGGCAGTTAAAGTGATGTCAAACTGCATTAATTTGAAGTGCAGATACGCCCCTAGCCTTCCCCACTAAATACAGATTCCACAATTATAAAGAGCAAAAGGTGTTGTTTTGCTTGATGCTCCCACCTTTATGGTTAAACGAGAGGGACTGTAATAGGTGGAGCAAGAAAATATATGTGTAGCTCTCCCATCTATGCAACCTGCTTTAGTGATGGTTCACCACAGCAAGCACACTTCATTGTAGATTTTATAATACTTTAGTGGAGGATTTAAATCATCTGTGTCATGCTCTGCCTCTAAAGCACATGGCAGAAAGCAACATGACTTCATTACTGTACAAAACTCTTTGCAGTATGTCACTAGGATTCTTATTCCCAAACATACCTTGGAAATTCATCAACCATCTGTTATTATTATACATGCACATATGCATATACAATATGCCCCACAGTTCAATCAAATTCAGGTTGCCTTCTGGGCTGGATTTTCTATTAGAAAAAGCTTTGACATTGGTAGAATTTATGCACATTTAAACCTGGAAATTAAATGATGGTCAATGTCATTTCATTTTGCATGTTTTTCCTATTTCTATACTTCAAAGATAAACTCATTAAAGAATTGAAAAGTTGGTCTTTCTTCTGTCGAAACCTAACACTAAGAATTGGCAATCTAAGAATGGCAGTGATGTTTTCATATAATATATGTTCCCACATTTTTCATACATAGCTATATCTATGGAGAAGATGCCCACAGTGAAGAGTCAGATAGGAGGGAGAATTTTGCCAAACTTCCTGGAGAGCCACCGCCAGATAGATAAGACCAAATGGCATAATGTTCTTAGGTTTTTTTGTTGTTGTTTGTGTCAGGAGCGACTTGTGAAACTGCAAGACACTTCTGGTTTGAGAAAATTGGCCGTCTGCAAGGATGTTGCCCAGAAGCCACCTGGATGTTTTTGATATTCTACCATCCTTTTTGGGAGGCTTCTCTCATGTCCCCGCATGGGGAGCTGGAGCTGACAGGAGTTTTATTGCTCAGTCCTGTCTAACTTAGTGTAAGGTAACTTCACCAGTGAGCCACAAGGACGAAAATCTGGTCCACAAGACTTCCTCTTTATTTATTTATTTTTACTTCATTTTCGCTCTTTACGGTACCTGACACTCCTTCCCTGTTGCTGATCATGGCATATATTCTGTATCAGAAACTAGAGCTGATGTGGTCTATCCAATGCAATTTTTTGAATTAGCACCCCAAACCATATCTAAAGTTGACCAAAAACTGATTCGTAACCTGTTTGATACTAATGTTGGAGAGTGGTCCCTGGTCAAAGTGATTCCTGATCAAGTGGTCCCTGGTCAAGTGGTCCCTGGTCAAAAAAAGGTTGGAAACCACCGATATATATGAATGGAACTGGTGCAGAGGTATAGATTCACAAACATATTAAGGAAAATTAACCATGTTATGTACCGTACCTTCCATCAAGATTTGTTGCTCTCACAGCTGCAAAAACTTTTGTTTTCAAAGGTAACCCTATACTAGGGATGATCAGTTGTTGGCTGTAGGTAGAATCCTAGAAAAACAAATACCAGGTTTATTGGTAGTCTGCTGCTGAACAACTTCAATATTTATTCTCTGGCAAATTTAGTCACTGGAAGTATGCAGGTGATAAATTCTCTGTTCCAAACTTTTACTTCAGAGAAGATGCATTTAGTGTCTATTCCACTGCTGCATTTCAGAAACATGGCAAAATCTGGGAAAACAGGACATCATTTTCTCTTTGCAATTAATGTAGGAACATACTGTAGTGGCTTAAGTCATTGTTCCTATCTACCCCTTTTCTTCTACATTACTCTTTCAAACTCTTTCCTTCACTGCCAGCCCTGCTTGATGAAATAAAAACTGCTTTAAAATAAAATGTTTGTGGGGGAAAATAATAGAGTAGAATCCCTTCACTCTGTAGCTATATCCTGCAAATCCTTGGCTACTTTACAGCAAAGAAGCAGTATGCCAAATTTCCAAACCCATATTTGGCACTGATTGGTTGGATTTGATGGGAGGTACAATCCATGAGGAAAATGCTCATTCTCTAGGGTCATTCAGAAATGAATAGGACATGCACCAGACTAGCTTTAAATTTACCAATTCCCATTACGTATTAAAGACTACATAAAACTGGATCTGCACGTCAATGTAATTCAAGGTGACCACATGCACTTAAAGTGAACTATGTTTAATAATGTCATAGATTACAAGGGAGAAAGGATGCCAGTTTGTATCAAGGTCTATGCTATTAGAAAAGTATATGGCAATTGCAAATGCTACCAGATAATTTACAAGGAATAAAAAAATGCTAACCATGATATATGACTAGGAAATAATCTAGCCACTCCGCATTTTTATCCTGGTGAAGCACTCAGATTAATATGGGGAAGGGGGAGAATTTCGTATATCATTTTAAATGTTAGCAACTCAGTAGTACTTTTCATTCTGTTGTTCTCTTCTTTTCCAAAATAACTTGAAACCTCCTGAAGTTCAGAGCAAAACCTATGGGATTTAGGTACTAAATCCACTGACAAATGAATACTGATTATGCTTACATTGCAAATCCTAGACATGCTTACGTTTATTCAGTGGGACATACTTCCAAGTAACAGAAGGGGACAAAGTGTAGTTTATGAAATGTATGAAGAACCCTGAACCACAACAATTGTTCCTAGCTTGCCTGTGACCTCCTATCCATCCCATAAATATGGCCTCAAAATTGTCAATTGCCCTTGCCTCTAAGACAGTATTTTTCAACCTGGGGGTGGGGACCTCTTGGGGGTCATGAGGGTGTTTCAGAGGGGTCAACGAAGACCATCAGAAAACATAATATTTCTGATGGTCTTAGGAACCCCTTTGGTAGGGAAGGCTGAAGATCTTTCCGCCTGTCCTTCTCTTCATTTTTGGAAACAGATGGTGAATCCTCCCACCAAAAGCCCTTCTCAACTGCGATTGATGGTCTCTCAGCCAAGGGGAGGGCTGTTTCTGAGATTCCAAGTGGGGAGGGGAGAATAGGCACATGGCAGCATGGTGTGCATGTGCAGGTGAGGGAAAGTGTGCGAGGCTGGAGGGAGGCTTGCACCAGCGAGTCCCTTCAAGACATGGGGTTCTGTGTGGGAAGTTTGGTCCAATTCTATTGTTAGTGGGGTTCAGAATGTTCTTTGATTGTAGGTGAACTATAAATCCCAGCAACTACAATTCCCAAATGTCAGGGTCTATTTTCCCCAAACTCCACCAGTGTTCACATTTGGACATATTGAATATCTATGCAAAGTTTGCTCCATATTCATCATTGTTTGGGTCTACAGTGCTCACTGGATTTAAGTGACCTATAACTCCAAAACTCAAGGTCAATGTCCACCAAACTCTTCCAGTATTTTCTGTTGGTCATGGGAGTTTTATGTGCCACGATTGGTTCAATTCCATCGTTGGTGGGGGGTCACCACAACATGTGGAACTGTATTAAGGGTAGCAGCTTTAGGACAGTTGAGAAATACTGCTCTAAGAGGTACAGTCAGTCAGCTATTTAATCCCAGTTTCACCCCTGACACATTTTAGGACTGTGAGAAGGTCTATTTTCTTAAATTGAATTGAAAAAATCCAGTTGGAAAGGCAGTAAAATGGAGCAAAATGGCCAGCTGAATTATCTAAGGGATATAATATTTAGCCATTTGGAACCCCTTGGGTATGAAAAATTGAGAGGGGCAAAAACCAGCCCTAAATTTGTGGATGTTTAGGTCTCCTTGCCATAACAACCTTCCAAAGAACCCCCAAAATGGCGGAAAATGGTTCTTTTTCATCCAAGTCTTAACACAGAAGATACTGACAGATATTCCCATTCCACCCCATGCTTGCAGTTGTTTCTTGCCTCCATAGCTAATATCATCTTATTATTTGCTTCCTGTAGTAGGTTTTTCCTAAACCATTTTCCTGTCCTCTGTGCCTGGTTCTAATTTTGATTAAATTCTGGTGTATAAAAATTGTCAAATGTTAATTAAATTACATATCAAATAATGGCATTTGCAATATTAATTTAGGCCATTAATCATTTGTTAGCAAAATAGTATGGGAGTTAAACAACACCTTCAGTCTACCCACCTCTGGGCCTCCGGCAAAGAGTGCACTCAGCTCTAAAAGTATTTAAACCATCTCTGACAATGGGTGAAGTTGTCCCTCAATCCATTATGCAAACACTGCACAGTTTGAATAGAGAATATTAAATTTTAAATGTATGGAAATGAAAAGGTTTCATATTCATGCTTAATTAACTGCTCTCTTTGCAAAATGAGGGCTTGACTCTAAAAAAAACCCTTTGCCCATCAGCATCTCTTGTTCACCAAGTAGTCCTACTAGATACATATGTATGAGTTGAGAAGAACACGAACAGGAGGAATAATTCATCCAAAGTGATGGCTTTGCTTTAGCAAGTAAAACCCTCCAGATTAATATGAAGTATTTTAGAATGGAATAAGAAATAAGATCATTTTTTTTAAAAAACCTCATGAACATTTATTTTGATCCATGATAGTCATGTTACACTAAATGGAAGAAGTGGCTAACAACTGTCCAGGGTTGGAGAAAATAGGACGAGTGTAGCCCTCGGTTCTCCTGCTCCTACGTAGCTCTGGGTTTTTTTTCCCCCATGGTTGAGGCAACTGCTACTGCTGTCCTTAAAATGGTCCACCTGTTTCACTCTAAGGTTATACTAACAGGATCAATGTACAGGACTGACTCACAAAAGTATCTTGGGTGGAAATGGGAAAGTGGAACATTGCAAAATTGTAAAATGGAATATTGGGCAAAACTGGAATTTGATTGTTTGCACAGGATATCAGAATGACCCCAAGCATTGGGAATGATCCCAAGCATTGTTACAATGAAAGAGTAATTAATTTATTATAGTTTTATTTATTGTGCTAATAGGATTTTTGTCTCTGGTACCAAAATGATTAGGGCACTATTGACCTTTGCCTCATAGGAAAGGATTATATTTACAACTTCACTGTGGGAAGCATAAGTTCCATTTCTTTAAAACCTTTGAAATACAAAGATACAGAATGGGGGATGCCTGGCTTGACAGCAGTGTGTGTGAAAAAGATCTTTGAATCCTCGTGGACAACAAGTTAAACATGAGCCAACAATGTCATGCGGCAGCTTAAAAAGCCAATGAGATTTTGGGCTGCATCAATAGGAGCATAGTGTCTAGACCCAAGGAAGTCATGGTACCCCTCTATTCTGTCTTGGTCAGACCATACTTGGAATATTGTGTCCAATTCTGGGCACCACAATTTAACAGAGCTGTTGACAGGCTAGAATATGTGCAGGGAATGGCAACTAAAATGATCAAGAGTCTGAAGAACAAGCCCTATGAGGCACTTAAAGAGCTGGACATGTTTTTACGAATTGTCCAGCTCTTTAAGTGCCTCATAGGGCTTGTTCTTCGTAAAAGCGGACCACTTCCAAAACGCGAATAAGCCGGGGAGGTGGCTGGCGAAGAGAATATTAGAAAAGAGAGAGTCAAGATATATAGTAAAAATCAAGGAAAAAGAAAAAACATACACATCGGAAGCAGAAATAAGAGACCAATTTGCAAACTACTATAAGAAATTATATCAAGACGACCAAATAAAAAAGGAGAATATCACCCAATATTTAGGAGAAAAGAAAATTAGCAAAATATCGGAAGAGGAGAGAGAAGCGCTAAATAAGGAAATCTCAGAAGAGGAAATCAGAACTGCAATAAAAAAATTAAAGACAAATAAGGCTCCCGGCCCAGACGGGCTGAGCGCAATTTATTACAAAACAATGATGGAAGAAATCGTACCATTTCTAAAAAAAACGCTAAATGAGATAAGAGAGAGGAAGGAAATGCCAGAAAGCTGGAAACAAGCAAATATTTATATTATACCAAAAGAGAAAAAAGACCCTGAACAACTCAAAAATTATAGACCAATTTCTTTACTTAATTTAGATTACAAAATTTTTAGTAGCATATTGGCAGAGAGACTAAAAATTTTTTTAATAAATTGGATAAAAGAAGAACAATCGGGATTTTTACCAAATCGTCACCAACGGGATAATGTGAGAACCATTATAAATTTGATTGACTATTACGACAAAAACATCCAGAAAGAGGTGATGTTCCTGGCGCTGGATGCTGAAAAGGCATTCGACCAGATTAATTGGAATTTTTTCAAATTATTATTGCAAGAGATGGACATTGGCTATTACTTCTTAAACTCAATTGAAGCTATCTACAAAGATCAACAAGCGAAAATTATAGTAAATGGTCAGGAAACAAAACAAATTGAGATAAATAAAGGAACCAGACAGGGCTGCCCGCTCTCTCCCCTGATCTTTATTTTGACAATGGAAATTCTACTGAATGAAATAAGGGGAAACAAAGAACTGAAAGGAGCCACAATTAGAGGACAGACATACAAATGTAGGGCATTTGCCGACGACGTTATTTGTATAGTTGAGGAGCTATCCACAAGATTAGAAAAATGGTTTGAAACAATCGAAAAA